ACGCGCCCTTTAGCTCTGGCGACAATTCTTATGAAATAAAAAATCCATATGAACAAATTGTTATAAAGCAGAAAATAACCGGTATCCCTAAAAGAGCTAGCTTGCCAGGAAAGAGGCAATGGATGTCCCTATGGAGTTCACACGCCTGGCGCCGCCCCTCCCGCTGACCGGACGTGCACGTTCACGACTGACTATCCCAGAGCCATTCAGCCTCTTATCACGTAAATCCATTTTAGGCTTAGTTTGTGTGTGTGTGTGTGTGTGTGTGTGGTTAACAGGATCACCTTTTAAAGGATGTGCTTTTTCGGTCACGCACAACAGTCTTGACTGCAGAAAGGTTTGCAAGGTCAGAGGACTTACCACCTGAGCGCCCTTTTCACAAGTAAGAGACTCACAAGGGGGAACAGCTGGTGTGCCCCGCTGCCAGAGAGTCTTAGCCACTTGCCGGTGTAACAAGAAGAGATAAAATCAGGAATGAAGAAATTAGAAGAAATCTAGGACTGAAACCAGTCATACAGTTAATTAAAGAACAACAAATGGGATGGTTTGGCCACCTGACGAGAATGCCCTGGTAGCAACTGCCACAGAAAGCCACGTTGAAGAAATATAATGAACACAAAGCAAGGAGAAGACCACGCAAGAGATGGATGGACTCAATCAGGAGTAACCTTACAGAAATGAACACCAGCTTGTACAGTGCACTGGAAACAGTGCACAAACGATCCTTACATCTCATCCAACACCTCGATGAGGTAAATGGTGGAAGAGAAGAAGAAAAAGAGAAGAAGAAAACAAATTCATCTTCTTGCAACCTTTTCAATCCCAAATGAAGAGAAATCACACGAAGGCTAATTAACAACAGCCGAAGCAGCAAAAACAATAAACCTCCATTTATTTTGCAGTGTTTATTGTAATAATCAAACAAATATGCAAGAAAGATTTAGTTTCAGGTGGCTAGAATGGCCTCATAAAGTGACATCACACACTTTAGAAACACAGTAAAGAAATATACACACATTTACTTATCGATGATCTAAAAAAAAAAAAAAAACCAGTAGTGATTTTTCAAAACTAAACTTCTTTTGCCATTAAAAAAGTAAATATAAAGAACTTGTTTTTATTTCTAACAATTTGATTGATAAAAAACCCAAACACTGATTGTATTAGATTAGCACTTCAACAATTCTCTCACTATGTATCGACTTTTTCTGTTCTTCTTCTACTGGTTCGCCCTCAGAAGGGTAAATGTAACGTTGTACCGTGGGTTACAGCTATGCTGTGATATCTGCACCTTTTGACTCAACCATAATCGATTTCAACAAATCCCTAAATAGTGTCCTTACGACATGCTTGTTAAAAGGTAATTAATAGCACACACCCCCCCCCACCATGGGGTCTCAGGACCCACACGGGGACCCCCATGCGTTTAAACATAAATCCGCGGCTGGTAATTCTCACACACTTTTTGTGTTCTTACCTGGGCCAGAAATAGATCAATGCCAACGAATGACTAATACACACGAATGACTAACACACACGAATGACTAACACACACGAATGACTAACACACACACGAATGACTAACACACACGAATGACTAACACACACGAATGACAAACACACACGAATGGCTAACACACACACGAATGTCTAACACACACACAAATGACTAACACACACGAATGACTAACACACACGAATGACTAACACACACGAATGTCTAACACATACACGAATGACTAACACACACACGAATGACTAACACACACGAATGACTAACACACACGAATGACTAACACTCACGAATGACTAACACACACACGAATGACTAACACACACACGAATGACTAACACACACACGAATGACTAACACACACACGAATGACTAACACACACGAATGTCTAACACACACGAATGACTAACACACACGAATGACTAACACACACGAATGTCTAACACACACACGAATGACTAACACACACACGAATGACTAACACACACGAATGCCTAACACACACGAATGACTAACACACACGAATGACTAACACACACACACGAATGACTAACACACACGAATGTCTAACACACACGAATGATTAACACACACACGAATGACTAACACACACGAATGACTAACACACACGAATGACTAACACACACAAATGATTAACACACACACACGAATGACTAACACACACGAATGATTAACACACACACGAATGACTAACACACACGAATGATTAAGACACACACGAATGACTAACACACACGAATGACTAACACACACGAATGACTAACACACACGAATGACTAACACACACGAATGACTAACACACACGAATGACTAACACACACGAATGATTAAGACACACACGAATAACTAACACACACGAATGACTAACACACACGAATGACTAACACACACGAATGCCTAACACACACGAACAAGCAAACACGCTGACATCATCAGCGGTTCCAGTGTATATAAATAATGATTAGCAATATCGGAAAATTCATATGTGCCCGGAAACATTGTTTCGTAAAAAAAAGCCCACACTATCTCTTTAATATAAAAAGGTCCCCTTTGCACGCCTTTAGGCGCATTAGGGAATATAGGGCTAGACCTATATTTTGATAGACCAATCGGCACTTGGTAGGTAATGTAACTCTAATAGCAAATGCATAAGACAATTCAAACATTGACTGAACGAGAGCGGAGTGGCCACTCGAACTATCACAGGTTTACAGTGAGAACTACAATAGTAAGAAACAAATAAAAGTTTAAATAAAATATATACGATAAATATAAAAATAAGTGTATACAACTTGTATGAAAATATACAGGTGATAAAAATAATTCCAAGCTAAAGAAATAAAAAGCCAAATAGTAATATGGCGGCTATATGACTTTTAACTGTGGCGGATTTCAGGATGGTGGTGAAACCTGAATACGATGGAACACTTTGCCACGTTCATGTTGGTAAGAATATCATTCAAGCTGTGGACAGACAATGTATTTTTATGTTAGTATACAAGTAGATGGGTACAAAAGCAAGAACTGTTGGCTGTTACAAAGAACAAGCCATTCTGCAGTCCGTGTGCATCCAGATAGTGTCAGTTTTTATTGATAAGTTCAATTCCTAGTTAATAAGCCTACTCATTCGTGGTTGATAAGTCTAATCATTCGTGGTTGATAAGTCTAATCATTCGTGGTTGATAAGTCTTATCATTCGTGGTTGATAAGTCTAATCATTCGTGGTTGATAAGTCTAATCATTTCTGGGTGATAAGTCTAATCATTCGTGGTTGATAAGTCTAATCATTCGTGGTTGATAAGTCTAATCATTCGTGGGTGATAAGTCTAATCATTCGTGGTTGATAAGTCTAATCATTTGTGGGTGATAAGTCTAATCATTCGTGGTTGATAAGTCTAATCATTCCTGGTTGATAAGTCTAATCATTCGTGGTTGACAAGTCTAATCATTCCTGGGTGATAAGTCTAATCATTCGTGGTTGATAAGTCTAATCATTCGTGGTTGATAAGTCTAATCATTCGTGGTTGACAAGTTTAGTCATTCGTGGGTGATAAGTCTAATCATTCGTGGTTGATAAGTCCAATCATTCGTGGTTGACAAGTTTAATCATTCGTGGGTGATAAGTCTAATCATTCCTGGGTACTAAGTCTAATCAATCCTGGGTGATAAGTCTAATCCTTCCCGATTGATAAGTCTACTCATTGCTCGTTGATAAGTCTAATCATTCGTGGTTGACAAGTCTAATCATTCGTGGTTGACAAGTCTAATCATTCCTGGTTGATAAGACTGGCTATTCAGTAATACACGTATGCCAGAGCAGAGCTCACTTATACATGTGTTATAGGACAGGAATGATGTTCACCACCTGCGAGATAATGCGCCTGAGAAAAGCAGCCAACCTAATCATCCCAGATCGAGTGAATAATAAAACTATCAGGCAAATTGTGGGAACAACACCTTGTACTAGATTCATCGAGAAACAGCAGATCAATTGGTTTGGCCATCTTGTTAGAATGCTGCAAGTTCAAATACCATCACAAGCACTACATCTCAGAAGATCAACTACAAGAGCAAGAGGACAGCCGCGGAAAATATTGATCGACAACATTAAAGACACTTTACGCCTTCACGGCATGACAATAGCCAGTGGCAGCCAACGCGCACTGGATCGCAAATTTTTCCTCCCCACGGCGCTTAACGGCAGAAGTGGTTTATGATGATGATGATGTTCACTGACATGTGTCGCCAGAGTCGTCTGCCTCAGATTCTCGTGCTCCGTACAGTACCCATGGTCACGTTTCTGTGCCTTCATGTAAGTAGCCAGTCACTCACTGCAACGCGAATCTTTTTACCTCCCTCCAGATTCTCTCTCTCTCTCTCTCTCTCGCTCGCTCGCTCTCTCTCTCTCTCTCACTCGCTCTCTTCCCTTCCTCTCTTTTCCCATTGTAACCCATTGTCTCTATCACTAAAATAGTCAAAACAAAATTTCCTAAAAAAAATTAAAAACTAAGCACTTACCTCAATGAAGATAACCGGCACTCAAGAACATGTCGTCATATCTCTCGTCATATTTCTCGTCATGTCTCTCGTCATATTTCTTGTCATGTCTCTCCTCATATCTCTCCTCACATTTCTCGTTATATGTCTCGTCATATTTTTCGTTATATTTCTCATCATATTTCTCGACATATCTCTCTTTATATTTCTCGACATATCTTTCGTCACATTTCTCGTCATATTTCTTATCATATCTCTCGTCACTTTTTTCGTCAGGTCTCTCGTCATATTTCTCGTCATATCTCTCATCATATTTCTAGTCATATTTCTCGTCATTTTTCTCGTAGTATCCCTCGTCATATCTCTCGTCATATTTCTTGTCATTTTTCTCATCGTATCTTTCGTCATATTTCTCATACTTAAAAAATGTCACCACATACCTCTGGTCGCTTCCCATCCAGACAAACATCAGGGGACGTAAGTTGGCCGAGTGATATTCTTCGCCTTGACTCTAAGACGCTCTGAAATATTTATGCATACATAAACGAGGCTGCTTCAGAAAGTTGCCGGAAATAGTCGATTCATGTTTGAATGAGTAAGTAGGACATGAAGATGATTGTTTTGTAAGGTGATAGGGACCTAGACGAAACGACACGACACGACAGACGTGCCTTTCTCGTGTATTCTCGAACAGAAGTTCTAAAGTTTGTCTTGTGCACTTAACATCGTCGAAGTTAATAATTTCATAGTCTGAGCAACGTAACAATGTCAAATTTTAAGTTTTGCTTGAGTAATCACCCTCAGCAACAGTGAATTTGCTTAATAAAGCGTGTAGTGATTCTGCAATGAAAAAATCACAAGTTTTTGTTTGGTATTGATGATGATAAACGTAGTGGGTGAGCGCCCACCGCGATAAACAAAGATAAAACTGAGGGTATTGGGAACATTGTTCTTGCTAACAGAAGACCTAGTGTCCAGGAAATAACATCAGAAGCTGAAGTATTAAACGGAAGTTGCCACAGTATTTCTTCTATCTGTATGTATCTTCGATGATAGAAGCGTGAAAGAACCAAAGATCATTCTGTGTCTGAGCTACGAGTCGTATGGAAGAGTGAATGTGAGTAAATCTGAGGACTGAGTCTACACAAACAGCCTGCAGCAGCTATGAATATCTGATTATTTGTAATTGTCAAGATAGATGTCAGAGTAATGATTGGCTGACTGACTGACTTTCTACCCCACCAGGACATCACACAAGCGATAAACACACGATGACACAAGTGCCACCATGCGGGTGAGGATCACCGTGGAGAGGTCCCAGAAACCGCGTTCAGCCTTTAGTTGTAATCTAGTGTCTTTGATTTACTTGAGCGGGGTGCTCTCTGATTATAGACAGCAGATTGTGACAGGGACAGATGCAGGAGACTAAAGGAGTCACTAAACATATTGTAAGTCTTGCCAGTCGACATCTGCCTGTAGTTTGTCCTGGTGGTTACAACGTCAGGCTCTCATGCAGGAGACCCGGGTTCGGTCCCCGGTGAGGTAATGGAGTGTTTCTGTGGAAAACAACAACAATAAACATCCTAAACTGTATAGTCCGTGGCGATAGCATCAGCCATGCGGCGTTGTTTCCTCGGGCCTAAGGACTCCTTTGTGTACACCGTCCTAAAAGGCCGTAAATACAGAGAATAGTGACAGATAGATGAATCTGAGATATCCATAGTGCCAGTAAATACAGAGCGTACTGACAGCTGAATCTGTGATATCCATAGTGCCAGTAAATACAGAGCGTAGTGACAGATAGATGAATCTGTGATATCCATAGTGCCAGTAAATACAGAGCGTACTGACAGCTGAATCTGTGATATCCATAGTGGCAGTAAATACAGAGAGTAGTGACAGCTGAATCTGGGATATCCATAGTGGCAGTAAATACAGAGAGTAGTGACAGCTGAATCTGGGATATCCATAGTGCTAGTAAATACAGAGAGTAGTGACAGAGGAATCCGAGATATTCATAGTGCCAGTAAATACAGAGAATAGTGACAACTGAATCTGAGATATTCATAGTGCCAGTAAATACAGAGAGTAGTGACAGCTGAATCTGGGATATCCATAGTGCCAGTAAATACAGAGAGTAGTGACAGCTGAATCTGGGATATCCATTGTGCCATGAAATACAGAGAGTAGTAACAGCTGAATTTGACATATTCATAGTGCCAGTAAATACAGAGAGTAGTGACAGATAGATGAATCTGAGATATCCATAGTGCCAGTAAATACAGAGAGTAGTGACAGATAGATAAATCTGAGATATCATTAGTGCCAGTAAATACAGAGAGTAGTGACAGCTGAATCTGGGATATCCATAGTGCCAGTAAATACAGAGAGTAGTGACAGATAGATGAATCTGAGATATCCATTGTGCCAGTAAATACAGAGAGTAGTGACAGCTGAATCTGGGATATCCATAGTGCCAGTGTATACAGAGAGTAGTGACAGATAGATGAATCTGAGATATCCATAGTGCCAGTAAATACAGAGAGTAGTGACAGATGAATCCGAGATATTCATAGTGCCAGTAAATACAGAGAGTACTGACAGCTGAATCTGAGATATCCATAGTGCCAGTAAATACAGAGAATAGTGACAACTGAATCTGAGATATTCATAGTGCCAGTAAATACAGAGAGTAGTGACAGCTTAATCTGAGATATCCATAGTGCCAGTAAATACAGAGAGTAGTGACAGCTGAATCTGAGATATCCATAGTGCCAGTAAATACAGAGAGCAGTGACAGCCTAATCTGAGATATTCATATTGCCAGTAAATACAGAGAGTAGTGACAGCTGAATCTGAGATATCCATAGTGCCAGTAAATACAGAGAGTACTTACAGCTGAATCTGAGATATCCATAGTACCAGTAAATACAGAGAATAGTGACAACTGAATCTGAGATATTCATAGTGCCAGTAAATATCGAGAGTATTGACAGCTGAATCCGGGATATCCATAGTGCCAGTAAATACAGAGATTAGTAACAGCTAAATCTGAGATATTCATAGTGCCTGTAAATACAGAGAGTAGTGACAGATAGATGAATCTCAGATATCCATAGTGCCAGTAAATACAGAGAGTAGTGACAGATAGATAAATCTGAGATATCCATAGTGCCAGTAAATACAGAGAGTAGAGACAGCTGAATCTGAGATATCCATAGTGCCAGTAAATACAGAGAGTAGTGACAGCTAAATCTGGCATATCCATAGTGCCAGTGAATACAGAGAGTAGAGACAGCTGAATCTGAGATATCCATAGTGCCAGTAAATACAGAGAGTCGTGACAGCTGAATGAGATATCCATAGTGCCAGTAAATACAGAGAGTCATGACAGCTGAATCTGGGATATCCATAGTGCCAGTAAATACAGAGAGTCGTGACAGCTGAATGAGATATCCATAGTGCCAGTAAATACAGAGAGTAGTGACAGCTGAATCTGAGATATCCATAGTGCCAGTAAATACAGAGAGTAGTGACAGATTGATGAATCTGAGATATCCATAGTGCCAGTAAATACAGAGAGTAGTGACAGCTGAATCTGAGATATCCATAGTGCCAGCGAATAAATGAATTAAAAATTGACATCACTGCACTCAGGACATTCCCACAAGTGCTCCATCCCCTTCTTCAGTAGCTACAAACAGTTGACATGATAATAGCACCAGCTGTAACCTGTTGAAAGTCCGCCTCAGTCTCTCGTCTCAGCACTCTGCAATGGTCCTTGACCAACCATAAGAAGTACATTTTTGTAAGTATCCGGAAACCATGAGTTATTTGGCTCGGTACTATGGATATCGCCACCCTTCTGCCTTGATTCCATGATAAATACCGCCAATCTGGAAGGAATATGGCTTTTCTGCCTACCCCCGGGCGTGAACCTGGACCACAAGGAGTTCGTCACCTGGTCGCCGCGCAGTCAGGTTAAGCCACCTGCGCTAGTGAGCTGGGCAAGTAGATAATTAGCATAGATCAGTTACACTTTGTAGTTTGTAACGTACAAGACTCAATGCATCAGGAACGCATCTAGCGTTACAATAAGGGACAATAAGGGACAATAAGGGACAATAAGGGACAATAAGGGACAATAAGGGACATAATGTCTCGCAATGACGAAGAAAAGATGACAGGCTAAACACCATGCAGCTAATAAGGAAAGGTAAGAAATGAATTTATTTTGGCAACTTTCGAGGTAAAAAGGTACATCCGAGAAAAAACATTGATAAGTGTCTCGGGAAAGATATCATCGTGGGAAAAAAAAACTCACCAATGAGCAGACGACACCAAGAATTCTGTAAAACCACTGGGCAGACAATACCAAAAATTATGTAAAACCACTAGCCAGACAACATCAACAATTCTGTAAAACCACTGGGCAGACAACACAAACGATTATGTAAATCCACTAGGCAGACAACACCAAAAAATATAGAAAATCACCGGGCAGACAAAACCAAGAATTCTGTAAACACTTTGGCATACAATACCAAACAATAATGTAAACCAATGGGCAGACAACATTCACAATCCTGTAAAGAATGGACAGACAACACCAATAATTCTGCAAACCAATGGGCAGACAACAGCAGTAATTTTTGCAAACCAGTGGGCAGACAACACCAATAATTCTGCAAACCAATGGACAGACAACATCAATAATTATGGAAGCCATTGTGATGACAACACCAATAATTATGTAAAACAATAAGCGGACAACACCAATAATTCTGCATACCAATGGGCAAACAACACCAATAATTATGCAAACCAGCTGGCAGACAGCACTAATAATTCTGCAAAACCATGAGCAACCAACACCAAGAATTATTGTAAGCAAAAGGGCAGATAATCCCAAGAATTCTGTCAACTAGTGGTCCGAAAACACCAATAATGTCTCAAAACAATTGGCAGACAAGACCTATAACCGAATCATCACTTTTGACATAGTCACCGAAGCTTACTCCCCCACCCCTCTGTTCACCCCAGCCATTTTCGTCCAACATGTTTACGCTATAGAAGTGTGTATAAAAAAGAAAAACGAGAAGATAGGCACAAGCGAGACGTGCTGAGACATCTGCAGTGCAAGACTACAAGACACCAAATGTTAGGATATAGCCAAATGAGCCACCTTAATGGACAGGTGGGGGATGATAGCGTATTTACCTGAATGTCTGCATGGTGCGAGTGTTGTGAGCTTTGCCGTGTTTCTGACCTCAGAGCTCTCATCTTCCTGGACTTTCTCGTTGTTGGACTGAGTGTCTCCACAGCTGTCCAGGTGACCGAATTCCTTACTTGCTGGCATAGATCGCAACCAGTATGGGCACGCACTTTTAACAAGCCCTGGCTCGCAGTTTTGGCTCAGATCTTCTCCATTTGTAGATGTGTGGAAACGCTGAACATCGTGGCGAGTCGTTTGTCTGTCTTGCCTTTGCTGACGCTGCCTCTCCCGCGTAGCAACTTTTTTGTCGCGGAGATGGTTTGTTTTCCTGTTTCTCGTCTGCATCTCCGTCAGAGTTTTGGCGTCCACGCGCGAGCTGTCGCTACGCAACAGTGCCCTGTATCGGAGAGAGATCTTTTTGGGGCTTTTAGCTTCTGTCTCAACTGGTGCAGCTATCTCAGTTTTGATTACCAAGGAAGTGACGCTGCCAGAGGAAGTGGCTATTGTTTCTTCATGTGGATCGTCACGAGACTCAGAAAGTACATGTTCTGACAACAGGTTAGTATTGGTGGATATCCCGGAATGAACGTCTGTAGCGCCGAGGGCATTGGCTGCGGCAGCAGAGAGGTTAGTTTGGCTGTTGCAAATATCCGAAGCCGATACAACTGATTCTCTGGTGTCATATTCAGAAAGTGATTGTTCTGCTAAAACGATCACTGGCGGAGTAGCGCATGAGTAGACCATGGGCATCTCGTCCACTTTCCAGATCTGCTGCCAGCAACGCTTGGGCTTGTGAACGTCCAGCAGGTGTGCAACATTCTCCTGCGTTTTATCGGACTTCTCTCCCTTTCTAGGTCTTCTTTTTTCTGACTGATCTTTCTGACCAATGAGTTTTGACATTTTATGTTTACCTTTGAAAGTTTTCAGAAGTTTTGCACTTTCTTGGCGTTCAGTCATAAATTTACCTAAGGTGGGTTTTTCCTTAATCTTGGAGTGATCCCCTGACAATCTCATCGAATAGGCTAACTTTGATCTTATTGGGGGTTTCCTGATTTTCAAAAACGATACAACTGAGAGCGAATTGCTTGCTGGGGATGTTTCTTTTGTCTCCGATAGGGGTATCTGAGATTTTTCTGACATTCTATGACCACTTGTCACGCGCACTGTACCGGCCAATGACTGTGCAGCCACAGAAGCCCATGTTCTTTGACTGGCATTGGAAGTACATTTCCCCTGGACTGACCAATGGAGAGACTCTGTCTCGTCTACACCGTGCTCTGATTGTTCCGTTTCAACACTGGCGACATCTTTCAGCAACATACCAGCGTCCCTGACGCCGGAACCAGCATATTTGCGTCTGACAATCTCTGTAGCAGCTTCTTTGATCAAACTTTTCGGACGTTCCAGTTCCGCCAGAGATGGCCAATCATTGACATTTTCTGAGTTTGAGTTGAAGCTCAGGCCAGACTGCCATACTTTTGGATGTAAACTGGTGACACAGTTCCTGCTTGCATGTCTCGGACGTACGACCTTTGATACATGCTGCCGAGACAAAGATTTCGTTTCCTGTCTCTCAACGCGCACATGTGTATTTAGGTTCCCGTCTTTGACGTTGAACAGAGCTGTAGATTTTAAACGTGTGCTCTTTTTCTTGTTCGTTGGTGTTTCAGTTTCATTGTTTACACCGCTAACAGGGATAATTTCTGACAAAGAAGCGCTGAAGCATTTCTCAGTTGTGGAAAAGTCACCAAAGCCTGAACATTGTGTAAACTTTATTAGGTTAATATGGTGCTCTTCTTGTACATCAGTGCTTTCTTCCCGTGTCCCAGACGATCGTTGCTTAACAGTTTCTGCCAACTTTCCTTGCATGACTTTGTCGTACTTTCTAAACGTGGACCTTTTCTTCAGACGACAGCGCATTCTCTTAGATGCCTGACTGTTGACTTCAGAGCTAAGGCGTCTGACGTGTTTTGGGTTCTTGTGCCGTTTATGTCTTTGCTCTGCAAGAATCAACATGCTAGCTAAAGCAGTGTCAGTGTACGCACCCTTTCACATGGCATTCTTATAGTCTAAGTATATTGTGCTAGTTCCACAATAGTCGTTACCTTTTCCACATTCATATGTCATTATTGTGTACAGGGTTTTCGGCGAGTCAAGTAAAAGAACATGTGTCATGTTGTGGGGTGAATGTGCATGGTAGTCAGAGACCATGTGTCATGTCGTGGGGTGAATGTGCATGGTAGTCAAAGACCATGTGTCATGTCGTGGGGTGAATGTGCATGGTAGTCAGAGACCATGTGTCATGTCGTGGGGTGAATGTGCATGGTAGTCAGAGACCATGTGTCATGTCGTGGGGTGAATGTGCATGGTAGTCAGAGACCATGTGTCATGTCGTGGGGTGAATGTGCATGGTAGTCAGAAACCATGGGTCATGTCGTGGGGTGAATGTGCATGGTAGTCAGAGACCATGGGTCATGTCGTGGGGTGAATGTGCATGGTAGTCAGAGACCATGGGTCATGTCGTGGGGTGAATGTGCATGGTAGTCAGAGACCAAGGGTCATGTCGTGGGGTGAATGTGCATGGTAGTCAGAGACCATGTGTCATGTCGTGGGGTGAATGTGCATGGTAGTCAGAGACCATGGGTCATGTCGTGGGGTGAATGTGCATGGTAATCAGAGACCATGAGTCATGTCGTGGGGTGAATGTGCATGGTAGTCAGAGACCAAATGTCATCTCGTGGGGTGAATGTGCTTGGTAGTCAGAGACCAAATGTCATGTCGTGGGGTGAATGTGCATGGTAGTCAGAGACCAAATGTCATGTCGTGGGGTGAATGTGCATGGTAGTCAGAGACCAAATGTCATGTCGTGGGGTGAATGTACATGGTAGTCAGAGACGAAATGTCATGTCGTGGGGTGAATGTGCATGGTAGTCAGAGACCAAATGTCATGTCGTGGGGTGAATGTGCATGGTAGTCAGAGACCAAATGTCATGTCGTGGGGTGAATGTGCATGGTAGTCAAAGACCATGGGTCATGTCGTGGGGTGAATGTGCATGGTAGTCAGAGACCATGTGTCATGTCGTGGGGTGAATGTGCATGGTAGTCAGAGACCATGTGTCATGTCGTGGGGTGAATGTGCATGGTAGTCAAAGACCATGGGTCATGTCGTGGGGTGAATGTGCATGGTAGTCAGAGACCATGTGTCATGTCGTGGGGTGAATGTGCATGGTAGTCAAAGACTATGTGTCATGTCGTGGGGTGAATGTGCATGGTAGTCAGACTATGTGTCATGTCGTGGGGTGAATGTGCATGGTAGTCAGAGACCAAATGTCATGTCGTGGGGTGAATGTGCATGGTAGTCAGAGACCAAATGTCATGTCGTGGGGTGAATGTGCATGGTAGTCAGAGACCAAATGTCATGTCGTGGGGTGAATGTACATGGTAGTCAGAGACCAAATGTCATGTCGTGGGGTGAATGTGCATGGTAGTCAAAGACCATGGGTCATGTCGTGGGGTGAATGTGCATGGTAGTCAGAGACCAAATGTCATGTCGTGGGATGAATGTGCATGGTAGTCAAAGACCATGGGTCATGTCGTGGGGTGAATGTGCATGATAGTCAGAGACCAAATGTCATGTCGTGGGGTGAAAGTGCATGGTAGTCAAAGACCATGGGTCATGTCGTGGGGTGAATGTGCATGGTAGTCAAAGACCAAATGTCATGTCGTGGGGTGAATGTGCATGGTAGTCAAAGACCATGGGTCATGTCGTGGGGTGAATGTGCATGGTAGTCAAAGATAATGGGTCATGTCGTGGGGTGAATGTACATGGTAGTCAGAGACCATGGGTCATGTCGTGGGGTGAATGTACATGGTAGTCAAAGACCATGTGTCATGTCGTGGGGTGAATGTGCATGGTAGTCAGAGACGAAATGTCATGTCGTGGGGTGAATGTGCATGGTAGTCAAAGACCATGTGTCATGTCGTTGGGTGAATGTGCATGGTAGTCAGAGACCAAATGTCATGTCGTGGGGTGAATGTGCATGGTAGTCAAAGACCAAATGTCATGTCGTGGGGTGAATATGCATGGTAGTCAGAGACCATGTGTCATGTCGTGGGGTGAATGTGCATGGTAGTCAGAGACCAAATGTCATGTCGTGGGGTGAATGTGCATGGTAGTCAGAGACCAAATTTCATGTCGTATTGTGAATGTACTATTACCCGAATTATTCGGTGTGTGCAGTGAAATAATAATAAGTTCCATACATGGTATGCCAGGAATATATGTTGCTGGGCATATTGTTAACAAACTGGTATATGCTGACGATATAGTTTTGATCGCCGAAAATGAAATACAGCTGCAGGAAATGTTGGATGTAATTGCAACGGAAAGTGAAAACATGCGTCTTAGTTTAAACAGCAGAAAAAAAAAAACAAAAAAAAAAAAACACAGAAGTAATGGTATTTACAAAGAAAACTGACCCTCCAAAATGCAACATCACAGTAAACGGGACAAACCTTAAGCAAGTTTGTATGTTTAATTACTTGGGTACCCTGAAAACATCAGATGGAAGATATATTATAAAAGTTAAATGTCGAACAGCTCAAACAAAAGCAGCATTTTGCAAAAGGAAAAATATTTTATGCAGTCTTTCTTTCTCAGTTGAGACAGAGAAATCCTAAAAGCTATTTAAATCATGTCTTGACATACGGATGTGAATCATGGCCAGTTGGTAAATTAGTGAAAACTTATTTAGAAGCTGCGGAGATGTGATTTATTAACGAATGATGAGATGCCCTGGACAAATAAAATGAGTAATGAAGATGCCTTGAACTGACTCACGATGGGAACTGATTGCCCACATCAGAAAGAGACAATCCACATTCTTTGGTCATGCAATGAGAAGGAGAATCAAGCTGGAGTACATCGTGACAGTAGGAAAGTTGGAGGGGAAGGGAGGCAAAGGGAGACCGAGAGATATGACGCTGGGCAGTTTGGAGGATCAAATGTGTCAAAGTTGATCAAAAGTATGCGAGGCAGAAGGTTGTGGATAGTCATGACTACCGACGCCTCACAGCGTGGACTTTAAGAAGAAGCCCAAATATTGATAGACCAAACGGCATTCCGTGGCTGATGTGGCCAATATCCCCTTGTACACACTTTACTTCCCAAAACATTTCAAGATATGCTGTGTCAGCCTAAACAGAATATTACACTTAGAAGGGATTTGTTTGAAACTGTGACACGGGATGGACAGGCAAGAATGCTTACCAATGAGTTGGATGTTAACTCTCAGGGATGTCACACTAATTCACCAATGGGTTAGATGTAAAGTGTCTGTGATCTCATATTAATTCACCAATGGGTTCGATGTAAACTGTCTATGATCTCATATTAATTCACCAATGAGTTCGATGTCAACTCTCTGTGATGTCATATTAATTCACCAATAGGTTAGATGTAAACTGTCTGTGATCTCATACTAATTCACCAATGGGCTAGATGTAAAGTGTCTGTGATCTCATATAAATTCACCAATAGGTTAGATGTAAACTGTCTGTTATCTCATACTAATTCACCAATGAGTTCGATGTCAACTCTCTGTGATGTCATATTACTTCACTAATGGTTTAGATGTAAACTGTCTGTGATCTCATACTAATTCACCAGTGGGTTAGATGTAAACTGTCTGTGATCTCATAATAATTCACCAATGCATCTTTAGCATATAGTGTCAGGGACAGTTCCAGTGACTTCCTTTTGTTACATATGCTACAAATAATTATCACTATAGATATATCTCTTTCCAATTAAGGCACACTTTCTAACATTCCCTCTCATTCAGGCTAAACATCCGACCAATTACCTTCCACTTTATACCTTTTCCCTCTTGTCTGCTGCCTGAAGGTTTGACACCCGGGGATCGCAACTTTCTATCTAGACTACAGTCTTCTCTTCCCTCCAGCTTTCCTGTTCTGAAATAAAACTCCAGCCTCTTCCCACCCCCCTCCCCCATTTTTTCTTTTTTTTCCTCCGTATGATGCACTCAAACAAATCTAAATCGACCTCTTCTACTTCAGAAAACGACAAGTCTCTGTGAGTTATTTCTGTCAAGTCATTCCTGTGCTTTGACGACATCTCGGCTGCTAGCACGTTTCTCATAAATCGACTACACTAACAAAATATTAGTGACACGACCTACTTTCGACAGGTATAGTGATAGATTTCCTTGGCTGTCCTCTGTGCCTCTTGTTGTTAGGTCTCTTGCGAGAGTTAGCGTTGCCATTAAAGTCCAAAGTTAGCACATCCCGAGGCACGCTACAGCCACCACTCTGGGACATGTACGGACCTGTTTAAAAGTGAAACCATGCCAGTCAAACTTCTTTAAGATGTTTCAACAGCTACTTGATTTTTTTACACATGAACTGCCTAACCTCAGATTTTACAGATCCTTTCGTTTTTTGTTCAAACCCTTTTACTACCAGCAAGTATTATTCAGTAGAGCTATATGAACAGCATGGCAACTAATTGTCATCATCATCATTTTATTTCACACGAATACATCCTTAAGGTTTTTTAGCTACTCAAGACGTCCTAGACTTCAGGTTAAATGTCTGATCAATTACCTGAGGATTAGGGAGAGGTCCTTTGTCCTTCCTTCTTTATACCTTTACGCTCTTGTCTGCTCACTGAAGGTTTGACACACTTAGATCGAAAACTCTTGATCTGGATAGCAAACCAACAGGGCAAACCCGGACACCCAGATCAACTTCCACAAATATGTTTAAATTGGGGCACCCGTAACGGCAACGCTAGCCCGGGGTAACCTCCAGTCTTGTACGGTTATGGGATATTGAGATAGGAGGGATCGTTTCTTCTTCAGCCATTTATCTCCTCAAGGAAACATTGACCTTCACATTTTATCGCCTCAAGGAAACATTGACCCTCACATTTTATCGCCTCAAGGAAACATTGACCCTCACATTTTATCGCCTCAAGGAAACATTGACCCTCACATTTTATCGCCTCAACGAAGAATTGAACCTCACATTTTATCGCCTCAAGGAAACATTGACCTTTACATTTTATTGCCACAACGAAGAATTGAGCCTTACATTTTATCGCCTCAAGGAAGCATCAACCCTCACATTTTATCGCCTCAAGGAAACATTGACCCTCACCGTGTAACGTCTCAATAAAGCATTAACCCTCACCGTGTATCGTCTCAATAAAGCATTGACCCTCACCGTGTATCGTCTCAAGGAAGGACCCTCACCGTGTATCGTCTCAAGGAAGCATTGACCCTCACATTTTATCGCCCCAAGGAAGCATTGACCCTCACATTTTATCGTCTCAAGGAAGCATTGACCCTCACATTTTATCGCCCCAAGGAAGCATTGACCCTCACATTTTATCGCCCCAAGGAAGCATTGACCCTCACATTTTATCGCCCCAAGGAAGCATTGACCCTCACATTTTATCGCCCCAAGGAAGCATTGACCCTCACATTTTATCGCCCCAAGGAAGCATTGACCCTCACATTTTATCGCCCCAAGGAAGCATTGACCCTCACATTTTATCGCCCCAAGGAAGCATTGACCCTCACATTTTATTGCCTCAAGGAAACATTGACCCTCACCGTGTATCGTCTCAAGGAAGCATTGACCCTCACCGTGTATCGTCTCAAGCAAGCATTGACCCTCACCGTGTATCGTCTCAAGGAAGCATTGACCCTCACCGTGTATCGTCTCAAGGAAGCATTGACCCTCACCGTGTATCGTCTCAAGGAAGTATTGACCCTCACCGTGTATCACCTCAAGGAAGCATTGACCCTCACCGTGTATCGTCTCAAGGAAGCATTAACCCTTACCGTGTATCGTCTCAATAAAGCACTGACCCTCACCGTGTATCGTCTCAATGAAGCATTAACCCTCACCGTGTATCACCTCAAGGAAGCATTAACCCTCACCGTGTATCGTCTCAAAGATCAAGGAAGTATTGACCCACACCGTGTATCGTCTCAAGAAAGTATTGACCCTCACCGTGTATCGTCTCAAGGAAGCATTAACCCTCACCGTGTATCACCTCAAGGAAGCATTAACCCTCACCGTGTATCGTCTCAAAGATCAAGGAAGTATTGACCCACACCGTGTATCGTCTCAAGGAAGCATTGACCCTCACCGTGTATCGTCTCAAGGAAGTATTGACCCTCACCGTGTATCGTCTCAAGAAATTATTGACACTCACCGTGTATCGTCTCAAGGAAGTATTGACCCTCACCGTGTATCGTCTCAAGGAAGTATTGACCCTCACCGTGTATCGTCTCAAGGAAGTATTGACCCTCACCGTGTACGTCTCAAGAAAGTATTGACCCTCACCGTGTATCGTATCAAGGAAGTATTGACCCTCACCGTGTATCGTCTCAAGAAAGTATTGACCCTCCCCGTGTATCGTCTCAAGGAAGTATTGACCCTCACCGTGTATCATCTCAAGAAAGTATTGACCCTCACCGTGTATCGTCTCAATAAAGCATTAACCCTCACTGTGTATCGTCTTAATAAGGCATTAACCCTCACTGTGGATCGTCTCAATAAAGCATTAACCCTCACTGTGTACCGTCTCAATAAAGCATTAACCCTCACTGTGTATCGTCTCAATAAAGCATTAACCCTCACTATGTATCGTCTCAAAAAAGCATTAACCCTCACCGTGTATCGTCTCAATAAAGCATTAACCCTCACTGTGTATCGTCTCAATAAAGCATTAACCCTCACCGTGTATCGTCTCAATAAAGCATTAACCCTCACTGTGTATCGTCTCAATAAAGCATTAACCCTCACTGTGTATCGTCTCAATAAAGCATTAACCCTCACCGTGTATCGTCTCAATAAAGCATTAACCCTCACAGTGTATCGTCTCAATAAAGCATTAACCCTCACTGTGTATCGTCTCAATAAAGCATTAACCCTCACTGTGTATCGTCTCAATAAAGCATTAACCCTCACCGTGTATCGTCTCAATAAAGCATTAACCCTCACTGTGTATCGTCTCAATAAAGCATTAACCCTCACTGTGTATCGTCTCAATAAAGCATTAACCCTCACTGTGTATCGTCTCAATAAAGCATTAACCCTCACCGTGTATCGTCTCAATAAAGCATTAACCCTCACCGTGTATCGTCTCAATAAAGCATTAACCCTCACCGTGTATCGTCTCAATAAAGCATTAACCCTCACCGTGTATCGTCTCAAGAAAGTATTGACCCTCACCGTGTATCGTCTCAATAAAGCATTAACCCTCACCGTTTATCGTCTCAATAAAGCATTAACCCTCACCGTGTATCGTCTCAAGAAAGTATTGTTCCTCACCGTGTATCGTCTCAAGAAAGTATTGACCCTCACCGTGTATCGTCTCAATAAAGCATTAACCCTCACCGTGTATCGTCTCAAGGAAGCATTAACCCTCACCGTGTATCGTCTCAAGAAAGTATTAACCCTCACCGTGTATCGTCTCAAGGAAGCATTAACCCTCACCGTGTATCGTCTCAATAAAGCATTAACCCTCACCGTGTATCGTCTCAAGGAAGCATTGACCCTCACCGTGTATCGTCTCAAGGAAGTATTGACCCTCACCGTGTATCGTCTCAAGCAAGCATTGACCCTCACCGTGTATCGTCTCAAGGAAGCATTGACCCTCACCGTGTATCACCTCAAGGAAGTATTGACCCTCACCGTGTATCACCTCAAGGAAGCATTGACCCTCACCGTGTATCGTCTCAAGAAAGTATTGACCCTCACCGTGTATCGTCTCAAGAAAGTATTAACCCTCACCGTGTATCGTCTCAAGAAAGTATTAACCCTCACCGTGTATCGTCTCAATAAAGCATTAACCCTCACCGTGTATCGTCTCAAGGAAGCATTAACCCTCACCGTGTATCGTCTCAAGAAAGTATTAACCCTCACCGTGTATCGTCTCAAGGAAGCATTAACCCTCACCGTGTATCGTCTCAATAAAGCATTAACCCTCACCGTGTATCGTCTCAAGGAAGCATTAACCCTCACCGTGTATCGTCTCAATAAAGCATTAACCCTCACCGTGTATCGTCTCAAGAAAGTATTAACCCTCACCGTGTATCGTCTCAAGAAAGTATTAACCCTCACCGTGTATCGTCTCAAGGAAGCATTAACCCTCACCGTGTATCGTCTCAATAAAGCATTAACCCTCACCGTGTATCGTCTCAAGGAAGCATTAACCCTCACCGTGTATCGTCTCAAGAAAGTATTGACCCTCACCGTGTATCGTCTCAAGGAAGTATTGACCCTCACCGTGTATCGTCTCAAGAAAGTATTGACCCTCACTGTGTATCGCCTCAAGAAAGTATTGACCCTCACTGTGTATCGTCTCAAGAAAGTATTGACCCTCACTGTGTATCGTCTCAAGAAAGTATTGACCCTCACCGTGTATCGCCAAGCTGTCTAATTCTCTACAACCTCTTGCATATCTCTATAAAATCTCCATTTATTTCACTCAGTCTCTAGTCTAATTGGCGTCTGGGGTTTAGGAGTTACTAAGGCGCTTCGTAATGCTGTGGTGCTGGGTTCGATCCCAGCCGTGCGCCTTGCGTTGGTTTCGACAGTAGTATCGAGAAGCCGACCGTTTAGAAAGCAATGGCAAACGACTGGACCTAAATTTGCCTAGAAAAACCACAATAGCATAACAATTATGGGGTTGGTTCTGCAATGTCCTGTAAAGGACACGCAACTAACTATCATCCTGTCCTTGTAAGTTTTTTTTTCCACACCCCTCCCCATTTTTCTTTGACCCTGTGAAGGACCTTTTAGTTATATTACAATCACGTTTCTCAGTTAGTGGCCAAGTGTACGGAGAGCACACAGGGATCTGCACGAAACTGCAGTGACTATAGGCCTTATCCACAACCACGGAACCAAAAACCTCTCACTTACTCTGTGTTTACGTACACTGAATACATTTGCTGAACTTCCTTCCTAGCTGGAATATTTCTAACCATGCTGGCCCCCCAGCGCCTGGTCTTATAAATCTATTCCACTGTTGAATATTTTCTCTCAAATATTGTGATTTGAACAAACGAAAGAGTCTCTGAGTTCCTATGCTGTTTATGTGCCTAGTGTATCTGATTTTCAAATATATTAACACATTTATATTACCTTCTTGAGAACTTAAATTTCAAATTCCTACTTTGACGTAATCAATCGTTGTGAAAGGAAGCTAAAGATAGCATCTGATGACATAACATATGACATACAATCGAAAGGTCATTTGAAAAAAGACAGAATTTAGCAGAATCAGCAGCAAAAAAAAAAAGAAGAAGTAAAAGAAGAAGAAAAGGAAGAAGAAAAAATAGAAGAATAAGCAGAAAAAGAAAATAAGAAGAAAAGGAGGAGGAAGAAGAAGAAGAATAAGGAGAATAAAAAAGAAGAAAAGATAAAGAAGAAAAAAGGAGAAGATGGAAGAAGAAGAAAAAAAAAAACAGAAGAAGAGGCAAAGAAAGAAAAGAAGACGAATAGGGGGAGAAGGAAAAAAAACGAAAAAGAAAAAGGAGAACAATAAGAGAAAAAAGAAGAGGAAGAAGAAGAAAAGAAGAAAAAGAAGAAGAAGAAGAAGAAGAAGAAGAAGAAGAAGAAGAAGAAGAAGAAGAAGAAGAAGAAGAAGAAGAAGAAGAAGAAGAAGAAGAAGAAGAAGAAGAAGAAGAAGAAGAAAAGAAAAAGAAGAAAAAGAAAGATGATGCGATGTCGATAATGATGACTAAATAATAATTTATAAAAAAATAAATAAATTCCAAAGCTATTGCGTTAACTATTTGATCTGATTGTTGCCACAAAGTCTGGTAGCAGACAAAATAGCACGATGTTGCAGGAAAGCAAGACTGCTCTTCTTGTCATATACCCAGGCTGCTCAGTCAAGCAAGTTAGTTAGTTAGTTAGTTAGTTAGTTAGTTAGTTAGTTAGTTAGTTAGTTAGTTAGTTAGTTAGTTGGGTTATCCTCATTGCACTCCGGACATGTCCATAGGTGCTCAGATCCTTCCCTCAGTATGAACCCCAACGTCCGATGGCTAATAGTACCAGTTCTATGTTGATTAACAAGTCTTCTGGCGTAGCTGGTGTGCGTCTCGTTTTTTGCTGTGCCGATCTTAATTCCCAGGTCTGCCATTCTGGCGAGTGATGTGGATTCACTGCCACCAAAGTCGTCTATCCTTCCCATTTCTCTGAGGGCATTGATAATATCAGCATGATCCATAGGCTGACCGTCGGTAGTGATAGCGGATCCAGCCAACCTGTCAGCTCTTTCATTTCCATCGACGCCTGCGTGTCCCGGAACAAAAATAAAGGTGACTCCACGGACATTGGACTTCTGTAATGATTCAAGCCACTGAACCTGCCTGAACCCTCCGGATCATACACATTGAATCACTGAGTATACACACGCGGGTGTATTTTTGTGTTTCAAGCCAGGCAAGCGCTTGTGTCACTGCCATCACCTCCATCGTCATGCTGCTGGTTGTCATGGAGAAGGCGCCGTTGGCTTCTTTGACTGTTCTGCCCGCTGAGCGTGCTGTAAATGCCCATGCGCTTCTTCTTTGGCGTATAACGGATCCGTCTGTATAGATTATTGCATCTGCTTCGTCTGAATTTTCACCGATGAGAGCGTTGACCTCTGCATTAACAGCAACAGGATTCTCCTCTCTACATCGCCTGTTGAGTGTGACAATACAGGAAAATGTACAAATAAACGCCTGGGGCACAGGTATCCATTCTGCACCAGGTATGATGTCTGCATATTTGCCTAATAACATCTTCTGCCCGACCTAGCCACGATTTCCCCCTCTTCAGTTTGTCGCCCTTTTCACTAAAAAGCGCTTGATGCAGTGGGTGTTTTTTATCAGCACATATTTTGAGATATGCCCGAGCCCTCCACATCCTGATCCTTTGGTTCATTGTTGGAAAGTCAAGTAGATACCTCATTGCTCCACAGGATGTGTCTCTAGTACATCCCAAAATAATGCGCATGGCTTCATTTTGCACCTTTTCGAGTCGTTCAATCTGGGTAGCACTGACAGTGAGGATGGCCAGAGCGTATTCAATGGGGGAAAGGACCAGACCGTAGAATAGAAGTATTAGTAGTCTTTGCTCAATGTTGGAAGCAGCCATAATCCTCATTGCAGATAGACCTTTGCGTGCTTTTGTTATCACATGGTCAACGTGTTCCCTGAATGACAAGCTGCGATCGAACCTCACCCCGAGAAACGTCATAACGTTGGTTCTGATCAATACATTATCACGCATTTTCACTTCTGGTAAGTCCGACTTGACAATGTGATTGTTCAAAGAGAACCATGACACTGATGCCTTCGAAGGATTGACATAGGCATTGGAACCATCACACCAGGCGGCAATTCGATCGAGTTCTTTGTGCATAGTGCTGGCGATCTCCTGTCTATCACGCCCTCGTCGATAAATAAAAATGTCATCAGCAAATGACAAAGTCCTCCCCTTTCCATTCAACTGCTGCTCAGTGATCATCACCGTATAAACGTTGAATAAGACTGGTGATAGCGGTGATCCCTGTGGCAAGCCTGGACATATCGTTTGCGGTTCTGAGGACCAGCTACCACATCTTAGTACAATCTTTCTCTTAAACAGGACCGCAGCAATCCAGCGGATCAGAATAGGATTAACTTTTAGTTTAAGCAGTAATTGCATTAAATAATCGTATGGTACTTTATTGTAGGCATCTTCTAAGTCCAACACTGCCGCACATGTCTCTTCTTTAATCTGAAATCCCTCGTACACATCGTAGGCGAAAACTGCAGCATTGAACCATGTCTCTTTATTTAACCTGTACCCTCCAAGTGTTGGTGGAAACTTATCATGTAGTTCCAAGTAGGTGGTCAATCTTTGTGCGAAAATTTTTTCCTAAAGTTTGCCAACAGTATTCTGCATCGAGGTGATTCTGTAGCCGCAGATCTTCGAGTGGTCTTTATTAGGCTTTGGTAGTGGGAACAAATAACTATGGAGCCATTCCTCTTGTATCTGGCCACTCTGGATGCTGATATTGAATTCCTTTGCCACGCTTTTCAAATCAGCATTCGACATCATCAGCATGTCGTTGTATCGGATGCCGTCAGGGCCTGGAGCAGTGTTGCGCGATTTCTTGAGGCAAGTTCTTAAGGTATCTGCAGTGATTGTGAGATCAGTGCCTAGCACAGTGTTCTCGCACAGCATCGACAGTTTCATCTTAACCCCTATTCTTGTAGCTTCATCTTTTTGGTCAGTTTGCTCCAAGTAGCGCGCCAGAAGGGTTTTTCCTTTATCAGCATCAGTTCTCTGCCATATCAGGTCTGTACCCTGAAAATCAGGGATACCCCTTGGTCGTGCGGCGCCGTGCATGCTCCGTTGAAGGCGCCAGAATGTCACAAGAGATCCCTCGGAGCAAACGCTCTTGCAGAATTCGTTCCATTTCGCTGTCTTAGCTTCCTTCGCAATTAACTTGAAAGCCACTGTCTGCTTGTTGACCTCATCTTTCAGACTGATCAGGCGTTCAGAAAGTGACGGATCAATTTTCCTTGCCTTTTGCCATGCCTTGACAGCTTTCCTTTTTTCTAGCCACGCCATGTTGACTACTTCATTCCACCATGGTGGCTGGGCCCATCTCTCCCGCCGTCTGCGATCTGCTCTTGTTTTACGTCGTCGGATTTTGCTAATGGCATCTTGCCCTGTACGGTCATATATAAAAGCAGGCACATTGATTACATGACTTTTGTTGTTGCTCTTCTCTACCAGGACGACGCAAGGAAAGTGATCACTGTCGTGGTATCCCAGTGTGCTCCACCTGCATCCTGGTGCAATGGAGGGAGACACTAGGGCCAGGTCAATTACGCTGTCAGAATCCCCTTGTCGTGTTGCCATTCGGGTAACCTTTCCGTCGTTCAAGCATACTAGATTGGCAGACACTAGGGCATCCTCCAGGTCTTTCCCCTGTTTATTAGTGATTACATTGCCCCACTGGTGTCCTCTGGCATTGAAATCTCCGCAGTAAAGGACTTTCTTTTCCTCCGTCTGGAGCAAACTCTGCCATCTCGCTGTATCCACCTTTCCATTGCAGGCGTACACATTGACAATCACAAACTGGGCCGGGCCCATCACTCTGACTGCGTGTACTTGTAGGTCGTCATTATTCCACTTAGACATGTCCACCTCAGACACCGGTATGTGGTCACGAACAAGAATGAGCTGTCCGAGGTGCCGTATATTGTAGAAGGATTGGAAGCCCGCAATTTTAATGATCTCGTCACCGAGGTGTGTTTCCTGTAGGACAACAATGTCGTTGCTGTAGAGGAGCTTCTCAAAAATGGGTCGGCGTTGACTAAACGAAGCGCAGTTCCAGTAGAGAACACGAACATACTTTAAACTGAGTCTTTCACATTTCAGCCGCTTCATGCAGGCGCCACCGTGCTTGCCTGTTCGCGTTCTCCTTGTCTGTCTACGGGTTGTTTTGAATTGGTAAATAGTCGCCATCGGACGTCGAATACACCCTGAGGGAAGTCTAAACTCACGTGCATGTACTCCATTGCACGGTTCAGACCCCATTCCGATGAAACTTTCACATTATACGTGAGCGAAAATAGCTAATTTGCGCCATTCGCCTCAACGGACGAAAAAGCGTACCGCCATTGTGGCTGTTTACACCGGAAGTCCTCAGTCAGTCAATTTGTCAGTCAAGCAAATTCATGGCTAAGACTGAACAATCGGAAATACACACACAAAACGACACACCGAACGTAACATAAGGCACGCGGCAAGAAACAAGCGAAGTTCGCGGCGGCACAGAGAACTGGGTCTTGACAGACCCCTAGAATATTGGACTGTACCGGATACTCTAGATTTCTCAATGTTTGCAGTGAATCATTTATAAAGAACCTCACTGAATAGACTGCATACCCTGGGTGTACCATTTGGAGCAGCGAGACAGAAAAACCATGCTGGAGCCACCTGTCGTTACACCAACCAGAACAGAATGGGAGTTCATAACCTAAAAACAGTTGGAGACATACTCAGGAGGAGATCGGAGTACTTATGGTCGTGTCCGATGTGCGATGAAGATGGCTTTAAAATGAACAATGTTTATATTATAAAGGAAATCTCTTCACTTACTTTTACTTGAAGTTGCAATCTCTTCATCGCCTACACCTGTAGACTTTGACGTGCTGTCAGAAACGCGCCTAGCTCTGGGCACATACTGCTGCTGCTGCCATCCTGTCTGAAAATATTGCTTCATTCGCTGCAGAAAGGTACCCGCTAAAGTGAAAAATGCACTGTTGACGAACCTCTGCTTCACAAGGCTGCCGAAGAAAGTTAAGGCGTGTCTTTTCTTTTGCCGCTGTTTGGGCAGGAGATACGAACGTTGCGGACCACACACAATAGCAGCGGGTCCGTCTCTTTCGCAACTGCGGGAGGCGCCATGTCTTTGGGAACCTCCTCCCATGCTGGTGGGAGATTTAGGACACTGCGAAGATGCTACCGTGGAAGGTCAAATGGTCAGAAGGTGAAAGAAAACGCGTCGAAACCAACAAAACAGATGACGTAGTGAGCTGACGCAGACCACATGAAGTGAGAATAGACAACTCTTTATGATGTCATTGTGAAATATATAATTCAAGTGTACCTAACCTTTAACTTTGTGCCAGGTGATGCGGGTGTTCAAGGAACCAGCGTGCAGACTATCTTGCTGACACTGCAGTTGATATGACTGGCCCAGTACTAGACAGAAGTGATGTTATCAATGCCATGCGCTGCACTAACCGTACCGAGAAGCACGACATTGACGTGACTCTATATCCCTGTCTAGACTGATGGACATGGGGGTGCAGCCTGGAGCTGCAAGAAATGAACATTTCACTAAGGGGACAAGACGTTTCATTAACCAACATAGAACTGGCGTCATCGGTCGTTTTACACTTGTGGATCTTTTGAGGAGGAGTTTGGAGCACATATTGATCTGTCAGGAGTGCTGTGATGATAATCCTTTCTTATCACTAATCACTATTCAAGTGTACCGCCACCTTCACAATGCCTATAGGAGCGAGTTAACAGTGCACAAGTAGGTCAACACGGTCTGAAAAGAATGGTGCACCGAGAGTCTACAAAGGTTCTGGCCGAGGCTCACCACTCGGGGGAGGGGGGGGCCTCATTGACATCCACATGAGACAGTTAGTGGTATCACTGGCACTGGAACTCAGTGCTTATTATTGAAGATGGGGACGATTTGCTTATCGGAATGTAACGAGTGCTATATGTCTGAATTAATCTATTTACTTATCTCATAACACCGAGTCATCCCCGAGTTAGCAGATCCAAAGACTAGTGCTGATGGCGCCTTAACCCATCTCTTAGATGTTTTCGAATGCTAGCAACTGTCTTTAGCTCAGAATAAATCTGTAGTTAGCGTCCCCTGGACATTATCTCCAATAATACCGGTGTGTCGGAAAACGAACATACAGATAGACTGGCCGGTTCTGCACCACTTGGTGGTGAACTGATGCATGCCAAGCTAAATGTTGTGAGAGCCCTTTGGGAGCGAAGGCACAGTGTGGAGGCACAGACTGATCATTACAATCAAGGAGAACATCGCTGCAAGAAGTTACCAGGGAACTGGTCGACACTCTCAACTCAAGGAATGGGCGAGACGGATATACGATCAGACAGTTACTGGTGCCATCGGAATTGGAACTATTCGCTGCTAAAGATGAGGACGGAGCGCTCATAGTCCCGAGTGCTGTGATGTCGATTCTTAACTCTAAATTCAGCTTTCAACATTTAAGTTTGTGCGTTGACACACACACACTAGTCTTGTCTGTTATAGTTTACCCTTCGACGTCCTATTTTTCTCTTGTCCCCGAAATAGTTTTAGCTATTATGAAGATTCAAGTGACCCATTTAAAACGAAAGTAGAGATCGCTTAGTTACAAGATGGCGTCGGTGGTCCACGAAAAATGGCTTTTTTGCGTATCGGTTACTTTGAAATCCCGTCGCTCAATATTGGCTGCTCTGAATCGAATACGTGGGCTCAAAGTTATTCAGAAGAGGTCGCTCAACCAAACGACACCTAACTTACATAGCGATCTTTGTTCAGACAAATAAATTTCACTATTTGCCATGCGGGAATTAAATTTCTGTAATATCTCCTTTTTAAAGTGAATATAAATACTTTTAGTTGACATTTTTGGATTCTGTGTCTATTTTTACATAAATATGGGTAGTTTTGCTGGAATCTGTACATCATAAAATATAAAGTTTAAATTTCTTCCCGGTCACTTATTGAGAGCTAAATCGGCGATTTTTCAAAATGGCTACCAAGTGGCCTAAACGAACTGTTTATTTCAGATCAATTAATCTAGTTATTTATTAAAACAGTTCAAAATAAGGCAAGTTTTATTCGTATTTATAATTTACCTTTTTTAACTTTAATTTCACATGAGTTTTAATAATTTTAAATACTTGAAAATAATGTTTTAGCACGTTTTTAACATGGACTATTTCTAGGGTATTTTGTGTTAAAAATGGACACAGACAGTGGTTTAAACATTTTATAATAATAGTTTTAAAATGAATATAAAGTAGTTATTTAATCATTTTTCGAATCTGTAGCCATTATAGCATTTTTTAAACCATAACCTATCATTTGGCATGAATAATAGTTCATGTTTAAAGCCTTTTTACCTGTTGACCCCCCACTTCCCGCACCCAGACTGACATTGTGGATGCAGACAGTGGTTTAGACATTTTTTATTATACTTTTAAATGAATATAAAGTAGTTATTTAATCATTTTTCGAATCTGTAGCCATTATTGCATTTTTTTAGCCATAAACTGTCATTTGGCATGAATAATAGTTCCTGTTTAAAGCCTTTTTACCTGTTGACCCCCCCCCCCCCCCCCCCCCACTCCCCGCACCTAGACTGACATTTTTAAAAATGTCTGCCACACATTTCTGCACTGATTTTGTCGTGAATTTTTATTGTCTTAGATATTATAAATAACAGTTACTATTTATGACTGATGCTATTAGTTTTAAAATTGTAGTATTAGTATTGACTTATAGATGCTTATTTAGAAAGTTGACGATTAATAAAATTAATAATAAATTATGAATGAATGAATGAATTTCTACCCCACCAGGACATCACACAAGCGATAAACACCCGATGACACAAAGTGCCACCATGCGGATGAGGATCGCCGTGGAGAGGTCCCAGAAACCGCGTTCAGACATTTGGCCATATTTATGGCCTGCCTATATTACGGCCCCTGGCAAAAGCCAGAGTAGGGCTTCAAATGACAAAAAATTTCGTCCTGAAAAGGACGAAACTGGATTAAAACTAATTTGTTTAACTGTGCATAAGTTTACTTACTTACAGCCAGGGCTAGTTACAACTTATGATTATTAATATTTAATAATTATTTTCTATATATACAATTATATACTAGCCAGCAAACAGATCACGTGGGACATAGATACTTAAAAAAAAGATAATGTTTTTTTTTCTCGAACCCTATGAAATCCTGCTCCATGAAAACACAACATAAATCCAAAGCGAATCACAAAGGAGCTTATTTAATAATTTTACTCCATGAAAAATATAGCACTAAATCACAAATTGGGCATGAGCGGTTACCTTAGATTATTTTGAACAAGTAAATAAAATATCGAGCAGTGACTAGTGAAGAAGAAGAGGGAAACAATGTGGTGAAATGTCTCATCATCAATAAAATGAAAGAATAACTCGCAAAAATTGAAAAAGGGATTATGTTAAATCAGTAAGAGGGGCGCTAATTTTCACTTGGTTATAAAACAATATGGGGGTCTCCTTAGCAAAGTGGTCAAGCCGTTAACCTCGCGCTCGGAAGGTTGCGGTACGTTCATTTACTGCGTTGTTCGACTCAAAAATGAATTTTTTTGGTTAGCGGAGACCTCTGAGGGCTGTTGCTGGAGCTACGGTATTCAGGCTTTGTGCTAAGCTCTTAGCATGCGCTAGCGGTTCAGTTATGTGGAGAAAGACCAAGCCATACTAAACCAGTAACGATGCAATGAAGTCAATCCACTCGCTTTTGAACATTTTGTTAACAGTGGAATAAAGCAAATTTCGGTCAGATGTATGCACACACACACACACACACCCACGCGCGCGCACACACACACACAAATGACAGTGCGAGAAAAAGCATTTTTCAACAAACAGAAAGAGATGCATCATAACAGGAAAAATAGTCATCTAAATAATGTTTATCCAACACAAACTCTAAATCTGAGAGTGTCTTTAACTTGGACGAAAAAAGATACTCCAACAACTTTAAATGATTTATATGCTAAATACTAAATCATGTTGGTTTAATTGGTCGTACTGTGCTTGTACCCGTTTTAGCAGTATCTCCTCCTCGCGTGTCACAGCCTGACGCATTCTCTCCGCGTGTTCTCTGATTCCCGTTTCCACACTGGTTTTCTTCGTATTCATTTCTGTTGTGTAGGTTTCTCGACAATTCTCAAGCAGTAAAATTTCATTTTCCAAATGAGGTATGTACGAATTCTTGTCAAGAAGCTTGAAACTCTCCTGCGGCCTCCGTCACCGTGCCTATCTGGCGTCACCCCCTATGTGATATAACCGCACATATATGGCAACAGTTTTAAAAATGACCTTGGCTCCCAGGTCGACCCAGCCTTTAGTGGGTACCGGGTGCAGTCCCAGGAAAGTAAAGGCGGCCGGCGTGATGCTGACCACATCACCCATCTTGTGCCGATTGGTCTATAAAAAATAAAGGTCTAGCCCTATATGCCCTATAGGCTTAAAGGCGTGGAAAAGGGTCCTTAACTGTTTTTTATATGGCAACAGGTGTCGAACAGTCAAAGCAGTAAAGTTCTTGTTCTTTATCGCCATGCTTCGGGCAATGGTTGATGACCTTACCCACTTTAGTCACTTGTTTTGCTTCGTAGAGCTCAGCCAAGTTTTTCAATTTAAAGTCTGTCTTGAACTGAGAGGCCCATGCAGATTTAGGACTTGATTTGTCTGGGGCCGGTATGAATTCTCTACATTCAGGACAAGAGAACCCGCGCTTAGACTTTGAAGTTGTCGCATTCGGTGTCACAATATGGAGATTAAGGCAGCTCTGACATAACCTACATGATGTAACAAATAACATCCTAAATTAAATACGCGGAACATTTTAAAAGTCGGTGCAAGATTTGAACATACTTACAGTTTCTATTGTTCATTTAATGCACTGGGCGGCGCAGTCGCTTGCCTACCAGCCTACAAGTTTCGGATTCAAATCGGCACCCACTCTTGATAGGACCACCACTCCTACTTCAGTCAAGGACAGCACAGGTCACATCAGATGACCTAGGACGTTATTGTTCTTCTTACCGTTCACCTGCTTAAAGCTCCGGGGGAAGTTCTGGTTGTTATCCACTTCCTTGTCTTTGGTCTTGTT